GACTGACCCACCCCATGTGGGAAATGCTACAGACTTTCCCTCAAATCTGATGGTTCCCTGGGCATCTTTGGGACACCTGTTCCTCCACACTATCTCTGGTTCCCCAGCAGCGCCAGCTACAAGGTAGCATGGCTTCATAGGTCCTGCACAACCATGCCTCTCCAAAGCTTCAGCAGCCCAACCATGCCTCCCCACAGCTTCTGCCCCTCCTATGTGAGGTTTACATAGGAAAGCTATACACAGCCTGAGGTTGTAGGATATTTTCTCACTAGTTTCCACAGGACTGGAGATGATGTGCACACCATCCTGCCACCCACTTTTCCTCCCAGTCTCCTCCCCCATCATGGGCTTCATAGGGGAAAAGCCACAGTGACTTGTGGATAGGGTTGTGAGGGCAGCTGAACCCCACTTCCCAGAGGAATGAGGAGTGAATATTAGCACACGGAGAGCCCCCACTGTGGGCTCTAGAGGATACAATCTGTCCCAAATATAGCTAACTCTAATTTTCCCCATTGAACACCCAGAGAAAACACATACAAGGAGTTGAAATGACATGTCCAAGACCACACAATAAGTTGTTGGCCAAAGCCAGAAATAAATGTGAGGACTTCCTAAATTCAAATTCCTCCAGGTCACAGCCTCTCAGATTTACAAAGACAGAGTGATTTTTGGCCATGATTCAAATAAGTGTTTTAAATGCAAACGAAAAGACAATTTTCCTATTTTTAAAGCAAATTATATAAATGACCTTTCTAGGTTTAGAGTGCTCAGCTTTCTCTTCTCTCTCTTTTTCAATGGCAGAAAACATGCTTATTCCACAAATGTAGCAATCTATATCTTTTGTTCTTGCAGAATCATGTCAATACACACTTCAAATACATTTGAATACATCCTGCTCTCCTCCTGTGAAGAAAAGCTCTAAAAAAAAAAGTAAGCTGTGGATATTTAGAGAAACAGTAATTCTATAGGGCTGATCAGCCATGCAATTCTGGATATGCTAACAACTCATTCATTATGTTAAAATGTTTCCCTCCATTATAGCTATTTTTCTATTGCTAATAATCTCTCAGCACTTTCATTCTATATCCTGATTATCAGCAGTTTGCAACAAAATATCTTCAAAAGCATCAAGATTTTTGATGCTGTCAGAAGAAAACAGAGAAAATTTTGCACAAGATTAAATGGATATAAATGCATTAAAGCAGGCAGTATAAAGTAATGTGTAAGTGGTTAGAAAAAATGCTCGGTAGGTGTCAGTAGGTTGGATTTATTTATTTATTTATTCATATATATATTTTTGGAACTCATAAAGAGTAAAATACATACAGACTGCACATATTATAAAGCCATATGTTGTCTCAAAGGCTCTAAGAGATGTCCAAAGTAACTACTTGATCTTTGCTTTTTGTCATTTGATATGCTAGAAAAATCTAAGGTTACCCTCTCTCACTTTCACCAGTGTAAATCAGGAATAACTCTACTCAGCTCAAAATAATTAAACTGGTACAAAATCAGTGTGAATGAGGAGAGAATCAGACACTGGTGTTTATATTTATTGATTTACAGTGAGTCATTATTTTCTTTTTAGGAATCAATCCTAAAATCCTCAAACAGACACATTTAAAGTCAATAGGCTCTATGTCTGGTTAAAGGTTATCCACAAAGGAGAGAAAAATCCTTTATTTACAAATTCTTTAAAAATTTTAAATAAAGCCTGCAGGTTTGTTTATTCCCTCCCTTTCTCAGACTTCTGATGTAAAAAAAAAATCCAAATCTTATCTACTCCCCTCTTGTATGACTATTGTCAGCTGGAAAATCAGCAAGGGGAATAAGTCACCAGATACCAAGCAAGCAAAAGCAGAGATGGGAGTAGTTTCTATTGACTATTTAAAACTCTTTTTAAAAATATATGTTTAACTAAAATACTACTGAAACAATAGGAAGAAAAATTGTTTGTTAAGCAGCCACTCACAGTGCACACTGAATCCTCTACTTGTAACTGTTGAAGACACTTCTCAAGAATTCTTTTCATGAAATAAATATTCTGTCAGAGGCTTAAAGGCTGCCACTCATTCACCTCTGTTCCTGTGTTTAAAAGGACTGGGCCTAAAGAGGAAGGGTTTTATTTCATGCCTGGAATATCCTTTAAATTCATCTCTCCCTCATCCTTTTTTCATTTTGGAATTTTGTGATTATATTTCAAAGCACCACAGAAAACTCTTATACTGTTACAGGCATATGATGGTTATTAGGTGATAAAATTACCCTATGTGAAAGGAAAAAAGGCTACTTTCTGCGGCACTGGTGTTCAAGGTGAGAGGAAAGAAGTTAAAGAGACTCTTCCTCCAGAACAAATGTGAAATGTCAAATAGCTCCGTAAGGTAAAGATGAATACTGGATCATAGGACTGGCTAACTCATCAGCCACCCAAATATGCCCCCACTGGGGTACTTGTTAATCTGCAGGAAGGGACATGTTTATCCTCCATGCTTAGACAGACAGTGTGAAAGCTGCCAACAGCAGCAGCCATTAAGCAGTAAATTTTGAATGTGCACATTGGTTATGTACTCAGCCACATCAAAGCAAGCCCCATAATGCATTGTCAGATCTCTTTGTGGGCTCCTGACACCTCTCTTTTCCAGATTATGCACCAATAGCATCTTTCATCCCTTGTGCTGTGCCAAGGGCAGGGTCTGTGCCATCCTCTTTTGCCTCTACAACAGAAATGATCATTAAGGGCCCTGCCCTAGAGCTTTCACAATCAAAGCTCCTATTGAAGTGCATAAAACTTTTCCTGACTAAGGACTGAAGGAGTTCATATATAGGAAGTGTTATAGAAGAAAAATACTGTAATCAAGATGTTATTGAGTTATTTTTTCCCTTTTATTAATAAAGGTTAACATTTAACAGGTACTTCACACAAATACAAAGCATAAAAGTACATCCTGTATACAACATGTATTAATCTAGCTCTCCTTTACAGACCTTCGTTTATCAATATTCCATTTCTAGTATCACCATATTGTTTTATTGGAATGTACTAAACATACAATCTCTATTTAGTGCATTAAAGATTGCTTGTTTTTATTACAGCTGTAAACATTTAATGGTTGATGATTAAATGCACAGTGAACTTATTAAATTCAGCAAGGTTTAATTAAACATATTTGGCAAGAGATATAAAATTAAAATTAGTTTTAATAATTCTGCATAATATGTAATATTTCTTGAGTAAATGCATCTAATACTAAAAGAGATTTTCTATTTGCTCCTATTTTTACATTTCAAGATTTAATCTATTTCCCCTGTTTCTCCCAAAATATACCCCACCCTCACTCAACAAGTCATCAAGCTGACTTAAGGGGAAAAGGTAGAATGCATTTATAGGTCAAATAATAAATCATGCCTTTGGTACGGAGTGCCCTCCTAATCACAAATCCTCAAAATATAACTTTAATTTATTTAAATAAATAACAACAGTATTTCAATGAAGAAATAACATGATGCAAAATAAGTAAGTTAATAGCCACACTACCTAAGGCATTTTGGCCTTTTTCTTTGCTCCCATAGGTTTTATTTCGCACTTGATTCTTAAACATAGTTGCTACCTGAATTAGAAACACTATTCTTTATTCGTTTTCAATATCGTATCATTAGATAGTACATGTGTCAGAAAACATATCAGCTTCACAACCTCTGCATCACATTGTTGTAGGTTTCACTGAATCAATGTAATGTGTACATTTTGTAATTTAGTATTATTAAAATCCAGTCATTTAAAATTTACAGGCTCTGTTTATAGCTTGAAGCTACATATAATCCAATATTTTCTCCTATACTATGTTACATTTCATATAGTTTAATGGGAGATGCACTGATTTCAGACCATTTCATGTGACTTTTATACCACCTGTTATTGTGCATTATGTTTCTGTTTTATTCTTTTAAAAAGACTTAAATATGTTCAATTCTGCTTTACACTCTGACTATCCCCACGTCCATCATGTTTGTAAGATTTTTGGATTAGAATCATTTGTAGCAAGTAAGTTTTAGCTGTGATTCTCATATCCTGAAGTATGTTGTCCTAAAGGAATATCATTCACCTCAAATGAGGAGTAAGAATAAGGAGAGATGCCAATTTTTGAACCAAATTAAATAAGCAAACTAGCCTCTATTCTCTAAATTCATTGTCCTGCTTAGTCTTTTATTAATTCTTTCCTGTCTCTTCTCCTTGGAGAATGAAAAGGTCTTCCCCCATTCCCTTTTAAATGTAATTTTAAGCAGAGTAAAAAATACTATAAATAACTTATTCAGTGAGTAATTATTTTTTTCAGATGATAACACTACTGAAAGAGAAGATTGTGATGGCGAGAAAGCTACAGTTCTGTAATGCAATTGTTGCAGACTTCAGTAGCACATTCCATATATATGCAATGGTTTCTTATTTACATGTTGCTCATGTTTATGCAAGTTAAAAACAAATACAGAGGTTGCTGCATTCTCCAGAAATCACAGCTACTGGTCAAGGCTACAAATGGCAGCCACAATCAAGCTTGTAATTTATTTTTCACGAAAAGCTAGGAGCATGAAGGGTGGGGGGATATCTGTGCAATTTGCTTAGAAAAGATAGCAGACATTTTAAAAAAACAAAATACTGTATATTCAATTCAGCTTTAGTTGCTTTCATGCTATAGGAATTCTGCTGGTGATGAAAACACTGTACAGCCAATCAAGCTGTGGTGCTATAGAGCCATCCGAAGTAGAAGCCCAGTGTTTAAAATAACCCTTATGAATTATTCATTAAGAGTCGATGTTTATGCAAATTACCGAAGCATGTGCCCACCTGACCACCATGGGTTAATAATAATAATAATAATAACAAAAACATATACACTCAAAAACCAAAAGGAAAACTACCAAGCTTTACGCATTCTCCACTACCTATATAATCAAATGATAATACTCTTTCATTAAATGCATCAAAGAATTACAAACCTTACCTGGTTAGCTTTGTAGGGCCCTCAGATTTTCTGGATGAAATAACTGACTGTGCGTGCAACCAATAAAACTGAACTGAAAAGCTGATTAAGGGCACTTACTTAATGCAAAGCCACTCACTGAATATTCATATGATGCCTGTGTTTATGCAAATTAAAGCAAAAGAAAGCCCATGGGGATTGGTTGCCATAGCCCACAAACACAGTGTACAGCAGAAAAATAGAGAATAGTGACAAATAAATCATGAAATGCATAGCTTGGAAACAGTAAAATATTAAAAATCTTATGTGAATTACAGTGTTAAAGAGCTTTATTTAATCATATCATTTTAAGCCTATCAGGTATTTTTCTACCAGGTAGCAATCTGTAATTATCTTTCCAGGAGATATTGTCACTAATGTTTGTCAGTTTTATTTATCTCATAACTATTTATATAAGCAGAGTCTTTCAGCATCTCAAGTAGGAGAAAAAATAATTACAACAAAAATTATAATGTAATACATTAGGAACAAATCCACCAGACTCATGCTACACTTTATTAGGTATTTCATGTGATTCTGCCTTCATGAGCAAAATGATGGTGAGGAGCAGAGTGTGTCACTACAGTCTGCCAGAAAAGGAATTTAGCTCTGTGGTTTCTTAATTTTGATACATAACTGCTTCATCTCAGATGCCTGCATGTTTATTTTATGATATAGCTAATCTTATTTGTTGCATGGACATTTTTTATTTTCCAATTCTAAAATGGTTTTAAAAAGAAATAAGATTTATATTATTAAAAACCAAATGTATATGAAATGTATATACAATATGCTGCCTCATAATCATGGCAAAATGTATTCATGTGGGTTCTTAACACAATCATTGGTTCTATTAATAACATTTTTACTGAGATATATTTTAAAATCAGAATGATTCACTATATCAGCATTGTCATTTTTCTGATAAGCAAGAAATGTATGAAAATAGAAATCATGCCCCACTGTTATTTAATTTCTTAGAGTTTAGTCTTATTCATCTATTTCAGTCTATAACAGATTTTCATATTCAATAATAACTCTTCTTTGTAGATAACTAATTATTAATAATGTCATTGTTATTCAAGGTTTTAGAAGTATCTCAGAACCCGTTTTGATTATTTTATATCAACGACCTGAAACTGAGGCGTAATAAGTACACATTGCTTTTAAGTCTCATGCAGCTTCTATTGATATCTTCTGATCAATGCTAACTCTTATCAGGATTTTAACATTTATTTTTATTAATTGATTCAGCAAAGATAAAATGAACATGTTCACTGGTTTGTTTATACCATCTCCTGGGTTTTTTTTTTAAATTTTTTTGGGGGGGGGGAAGAGGGAGATGTTTACTGTTATGATGAAATTCATATGTTCTAGAGTGAAATCCTGGCCCTAAAGTCAATGGAAGTTTTGCCATCTTCACGAGAGTCAGGATTTCACATCTTGTTTGTCTAAGATCATAGTTCTAATTCCATGGATTTGTACTACCCTTAAATCTGTGCCTCTCCCCTGTGGTGCTACCCCATATAAGAATGTGTATACTGACAAACTCCAAAAGAACTTTACACTGGAACACTTACTAGAAATCATCAGTTAGGAATGTAATACTTTTCTCAAACTCCAGATGCCCCAAGGAAGATTCTACTCTCATTACATGGGATTATTCTATCTGCGTTTGGATTTTGTGTAGAAGTACTGACAACTAAATAACATTTTTTTCAATGATGAAGGTAATTAACCATTGCAACAATTTACCAACGGTCATGATGGATTCTCCATCACTTCACTGGCAATATTTAGCTCAAGCAGGGGCGGATATACGGCAGGGCGAACGGGGCGGCCACCACAGGCCCTGCGCTTTGGAGAGCCCCGCGCAGGCGCCGTGGCGCCGCTGCGCATGCGCATGGCGTCGCTGCGCATGCGCCATGGCAAAGGGGGGACCCCGCGGAATTATGCTGCCCGGGGCCCCGCAAAACCGTCATCTGCCCCTGAGCTCAAGAGTGGGCACTTTTCTAAAAGATCTGCTCTAGGAATTATTTTGGGGAAGTTCAGTGGCCAGTGTTATACAGGTCAGAGTAGGTGATCACAGTGGTCCCTTCTGAACTTAGAATCTAGGAATCTATAAGGAATTATTTTTCCTGTGTACATGACTAGCGATGGGGGAGCGGAGGAGGCAAAGAGGATATCTGATCCTTGGGCTGTTGATTCTAAAGGGGCCAGCGCTCCTGCCTGTCACCACTGCTACTTTAAATTGCTGCTGGAGTGTCATGTGGAGCACGCAGAGCAGCTCTAAGGACTTGGGGAGGGGGGCGAGAGGGAGAGTGCCCAGCTTGGAGTTCTGAGAACTAGCTACCTTGGCCCTGCACCTTCCTGGAGTGTAAAGCTGGCCTCTGCACCTTGCCTAGGGGCCGGTGAGATTTTCAACTCCCCTGCCTGTATAATTAAACCATTTCTGTCAACAGCACAAGGACTCTTTTGCTTGTGTAAGCACCAGAGGGGCCAACAGCTTTGCTGAGCCCTGGGGCAACATGCATGTGTTTTGGGGGGGGTTGGTGGCTCCATGCTCTAAAAGGGGTGGGGCTGAGTGCAAAAGACACAGGGCCAAATGCAGTCAGCTGTTAGCACTGCCCGGTGGCAGCATGAACCCCCCCGCCAAGCCATTACAACCATATGAAACAGTGTTCCAGCACTTCTGTGGCAATTAAAAGGAGTCTGGGGCTCTGGCTGCCACCGCTGCTGAAGTAGCAGGCAGCTGGGAACTCCAGGCCCTTTTGAATTTCTGGGCCATGGGGTAATTGCCTCCTGAATGTGGGCCTAATAAACTCCATCTACATTGAGCAGTGAGAGGAGGGGGAATGGGGAAGGTTTGTTGACATAGCTATATCAGCTATATGGTATGATTTTTGTCATACTCCTAACTGATACAGCTATACTGTCAAATTTGTAATGCAGTCCTGGCCTTAAACTGAATCTTGGATTTAATTCCCTGAGGGAATTTAAGTTTAAATACATGTGTACACTGGCAAAGTCTTACCTTTTCAAGCCCAGCTTTAGCAGAGATGAGAAGCATGACCGGATTCCGTGAAATGATATTTTCTGTACTGCAATCCTGTCAATCCCTCTCCTTTCAAGAATACTAAACCAATAAAGTAAATTATTTTAAAGAATAAAGAAACAGAGAAAAACGGATCCATAAATTGACTTCTTTGTTCTGCCAATTGACTAAATGACACTTAAGTCATCTCTAAGTGCCTGGAAAAAATAAAAGGCATTTCTTTTGTGATGATGATGAACAATTAGGCAATTGTAAAGCATGCAATGGCAAAGTAGAAATGCACAGTAATAATGTTTTCCATGTTCTTTTTTCCCCAATCTATTTTTATTTTTGCAACAAAATACTACAATTGGAACGACATGGAATTTCACTCCCCTTTCTAAACTCTGGATTAATAGCAATGTACTGTCCATGGCCAAAATGCTGATGTTTCTTCAACTTTCAGAAAAAAGAGGTAGTTATATTGGCTTACTCAAGTAAGTAAAGTCAACACCATTCAATCATGTCTGTAAACTGTCCACATTTTTAGAACCTTCAAAAGCCTTCTCAATCCATTGTTAACTTTGCACACTCAGCAGCTAACCTTTCAGGCTATGTCTACACTGCTGGGTTTTTTTCAGCAGAAGATATGCAAATCATGCTCTCATTTGCATATCTTCTGCTGATCCTTTTTGCAGAAGAGGTTTTGCCGCTAAAAAGCTCCGTGTAGACGGGGCTGTTTGTTGGAAAAAAACCCTTCTTTGCAAGATCCCATAATCCTCATTTTTTGAGGAATAATGGATCTTGTGAATAAGGATTTTTTTCTGACAAATGGCCCTGTCTACACGGGGCTTTTTAGCGGCAAAACCTCTTCTGCAAAAAGGATCAGCAGAAGATATGCAAATGAGAGCACATTTGCATATCTTCTGCTGAAAAAAAATGGCAGTGTAAACACAGCCCCAGTGATCTACTGCATGCCATCAACCACTCTTTTTGCTAGTCATCACCAACTACAGTGATTCACCACTATTCCTTTAATAATAACTTTTGTCGTTTTTTTCTCTCTCAGTGCATGATAACCAAAGTTTGTCCTGTTGATTTTCAAAATGAGAGTCCACTTCTCTCTAATACTGTTTCTAACCTAATCACCCACCTTTTAACTGTCCAGGAGATATGCAAGGATTTTAGCTAGTACCCCCTTTCTTCTTGTCAGCAGCATTAGTTTCCCAGAATTCACATTTATAAATTGATATTGAATTTATAAATATTGTCACCAATAAATATTTGTACACTTTTCCTACATTTTTGTAAGCAAGCCCATGGCTGAGTGAACCTTCCTTAGTCTTCTTCTGATTTATTTGAAGCAGCATCCTTTGATGGATATGTATGATCCCAGATATTTAAACTTATCTACTGCCTCTACACCTGGACTGTTAATTATGATTGCTACTTGCATCATGCAATTACTGATCATGTTATAGTACATAGGTTTTGTTTTGCTACATTCAGGGTTAGTCCATGTTCCTCACTGTTTTTACAGACTACAGCATTATATTAATGGTTGCAGCACAGAGTGTTATATCATCAGTATATCTGAAGTCAGTTGCCACAAATGACAATGCCAGCATTTTCTACTTTATCAAAACCTTCTGAGGATTGTCTGCCTCTATGTTGACAGAATGCACCCTGCCCAGCAGAAAACCACTGTCATCTGCTGCTGTTCACACCATGGTCTGTTGTTGACAATAGAAACTTGATGAGTCCAGTGAATTGCTTTGGAATCCTCACATCTGCCAATAACTTCCAGAGATTATCATGATGGATAGTATCAAACACTTTAGAGTAGTCAATGAAACAAACCCTGTATTTTTCAGTGATTTGATGGATGTCTCAATTTGATCCTGTGTGCCTTATATCTGTCTGAAACCAGTGGGTTGTGGGTTGTAGTTCTGCTTGTAACATTTGCTTCGTGTGATTCTGAATTGTAGAGCAGCAGTTACTCGCTAACATTTACTACTGCAGATAGTTACTTCACTCTATTACATCCCTT